ATGTGATCAAAACGGGGACATCTTTAGCCGTAACACATCCTTGGTGAACAGAATTCATACTGGAGAAATTCTACAAACGGGGTCAGTCTGTGTCTGCCCTTGGGCCAGCCCCTGCTGAAGCTCAAAGGACCTCGGCCTGGGAAGAAACTCTGGAGGCTGATGGACGGTGACAGGAAAGCCCGTAGCTCTACCTCATCCCCGCAGCACGAGGGGACACTTTCCCAAGAGAGCCTGGGAACGTGCTAAATGGGAAGGTGCCCGCATCAGGAGGCCCCGCTGCAGAGAAGCCATTTCCATGGGAGCCAGCCACATGGAGGACTTTAAGCCGAGGTCTCATTTTACTGGATAACAGAACGCCACGCAGGAGCACCACCTTTCACTAGAAACTGAGGATTGACAAAAAGAGAATTAACACTACGGGAGCAGCTGCTTCTCAATCTCACCAAAGTCACACAAACCACTAAATAAGTATATCAACGGAGGAGGAAGGCTTGCTGAAGTGTTTTGAACAACTCTGGCCTGGACTGGACAAGAGCCTGTGACGTCAGCACTCCCAATACAGCCCGGAGCACCTTCCCTAGGGCTCGGGCGCCAGGGTAAGGCTCTGGGTTGACCCAGGCAATTGTGCAAAGGACAGGCCTTTGCCGGCTACGTGCTTGAACATACATATACCCTTAGAAGGGACTCAGGGACGTGTTTTTGTCATCACAGTGAATGCTACAGCCTGCTGTTTCCATCATGTAAGAGGCTGTTACAATACGGATCTTTTAAAAATGCTCCCGTGTTGAAAGGTTGCGCCCCGGCGGACAGCACCGCTGGCGTGGGGGCGCCTTCCGGAGCGCGGCCCGGAGAGCGAGGTCCTGGGCCCCTGCCCCTCCCTTCGCTTCCAGGCTCCCCCAAGTGGTGCTGTGGCTCACCCCCACCGCAGGCCCAAGAGGGGGCCAAGTGCGTGTGGGTTGGAACTTCCACAGCGAAGCCCCTTCCTCCTCCGTCCAGGCTGGCTCTTCAGCTGTCTGGTCAGCGCACTGGAGCGCCAGCAGGGCGCCTTTCGGTACTACACACTCGCCTTACCGTAACACCACGTACTGTACGCAGCCGGGCTGCTAGGGCTGCCAGTCAGCTGGCATTTTATAAGAATAATCTTGAGCGAAGTTAATGAAGAGAAATAAAACGCAAGACTCTGCTAAGGTGAAAAATACGCAAAATACACTGAAACCTCCAGATGCTTTTGTAGAAATACCAACACTGAATTTCTTACAGGACTAAAGTCACGCTTTTATAGATGTTATTATGGAGTGACATGTAACCACTTTTTTTTTTCTTTTTCGGAACCGGGGTTGAACTCAGGCCCTTGCGCTTGCCAGAGAAGCACTTACTCCACTGAGCCATCTCCCCGGCCCTATAACCTTTGCCAGACCAGCACTCATTGCAGAGATGGAGGGGACAGCTTCTGAGAAGCCGAAGCATGATAAAAACCTCCTCCGACCATCACAGGATAACTACTGGTGTCCTGCTTCCATGCCTCAACTGTTCATGCTGCATTCACTTACAACCCCTGGTCTTTATCAGCACTGACTTTTAAATACTGACAGTCTGCACAGGCAAAACCAAATGAAATGGAACAAGAGGGGCTGGAGAGATGGCTCAGTGG